TTTAGCGTTCTGTACTTCATCGGTCAAATTGGATTCAGTGCGTTCTCTTCTCGCTATTTCATCTCTCAGTGTTTTGATTATCTTGAAACATAGTGAAAATCAGAGAAATAAGCAAAACCATTAACATGAACCTGCATCTTCTCCTTCTCTTCATCTTGCATTTTCCTTTCTAAATCAGAAATTTGTCTTTGATAAGACACACAATCACTGATTCGATCTTTCAACATTATTTTGTTATTAAACAACTCTTCACGTCTGCAAATCATAATTAGTTTGTTGTTTGAAAAAGTTAAAGTAAGCTCGTTAAAGTAAAGCTAAACAGAGCCAAAACGCACACGATCGCCATATGATCGTAGATTTCCCCAGTCTCGGCTTTCGCTACGCGAGCGGCTGTTTCGGCTTTCACGCGAAGTTCACGATCTCTGCGAGCTTCTCTTAAAGCATCGTCGTGAGCAAATCTGAAAAAAAGGTGAGGAAAAGTTAAGAACAGAAGAAATTATTGTAAGAGAGAAACGCAAATATAGATGAGTCATTTGTATGAAATTGTGTACATAAAGTAGCTCACAAAAATTAGCTGTAGTAGGAACCCACTGCAAAAGTTCCAGAGAACGTTTCAAGTCAGAAATGGCATCGTTTGTTGCATTGAGATCAATCTGTTGATTAAGCTGCTCAGTAGAACTTTGAGCTTTTTGTTCCAGAACGTACCGAGCGCGAGACTGCAACAACAAATTAAGTCAACCAGACATATTGCTCGACTCTAATAAGACATGTGACAAGCAGTTGAAGATGGTACAATGAAAAGCAGCCAAAGAGGCACAATAAAAAAAGTTGAGGTGGTCAATGATACCATCCAAAGATATGACTATATTAATATACTACCTCACCTTATATGCTTCGTAATCATTTTCCAAATCTTCAAGTCGAGATTTCAAAACGTCCTTCTCATTTGTAACATTTCGCAAATCACCCTGCTTCTGCTCCACATTTTTTCGTAGTCTGAACAATCGATTAAAAAGCATGCAATGTAAGACAAATGATCAGCAGAGATGAAAATAAATACTTACACTTCAACAAGTACTTCATTCTGAGCAAGTTTCTCCTCAAATGCCACCCTTTCATCGTTTCTGGCAGCTGCCAAAACATTGAAGTTGTCTTGAAGACGATTCAGTGAGCTTTGTAAATCAGCTACACGAAGTTGTTCATCTGAAAGCTTGTTGGATTGAGAAAAAAGCCGAGCTATGTGAAACTGATGCTTAAGTAACTGAACATCGTATTATACTAATTTAAGAGATTTTGTTGCTAGGAAGGATCAAAGACTCTGGATAGAAAGTTTTAAGAATCTTCGAAAATCTTCAAAATATGAAACCAAAGTTGAGGAGAAACCAGCTCAAGACCGAAGTCTCACCAATCTGTCAAAGAACAAATATAGATAGTTTATGTTACCACTTAATTCTTGCTTGGCTTCCTGCAACTGGGTCATTAACGTGGAGCACTCGATGTTCACACGATCCGATGAATTTCTTGAAAAAGGGTGATTGCAATGAAAAGCTCATAATGAAGACTAAAAAGAAAATGTTTACTTGTGAGCACTGAGCTGTTCGCTGAGCTCCTTTTTCTCGTTTGTAGTAATTTCAAGAGCTGTTTGTGCTTCTTTCAACGATTTATTAAGCTGCACCATCTAAAATAAAGCAGGTAGTAGAGTGCGCTTCTAAATTCACTCAATAAAACTCCAGTGATGATATATACCTTCTTCTCGTAATCCTTGAGCTCTAACGAGAAAACGTCTGTTGCAGTTTGTTGCTCCCTAAGAGCAGCTGCTTCTTGTACAGCATCGTCAAGCTTGGAGCGTAGCTCAGTGCTCGCTGCAAGAGCAGCGGCAAGATCATCGTTGATACGAATTCGCTGGAATTATTTTTCTAGAAACTATACGTTGGAAATTTCTGAACTCTTGCAATTTCCAGATATTGATGAAGGTGGCCACCGAATAATTCGTTTCCCAACAAGGTTTGTTGGAGAATAAATAAACTAAGCATCAGTAGACTTCGCCGCGTAGATAGTCACCTACTACTTGAACAAACAAAAGATGGCTACCCATTGTAATGCGCATTAGTTTGGCTAAGAAGAAAAACGCACCTCCTTCTTCAGTGAAGCGATTTCAGTCCTCAATTCAGAATTTTCTTTTAGCAGGTGCTCGTTCACAGTAACGGCGCATTCCCCATTCTAAAGTAAATTCGAAAAACTTTCAACAAATTTGCTAGATTGGATATAATATAGGAGTACAGTAGCTTCTAAACAGGTAGAATGCATAAAAAATCGGATATTCATTACACATCGAATAGAATTCCAAAACAATCTGCAAAAAACTTATGCACTGAAATGACAAACCTGGATCTGATCCGAAACATTGTTGCTTATCACACCAGGAGAACCTGCCGCTTTCAACCTAGCGACTTCGGACTCAAGAACACGAATGGCGGACTCCTTCT